CGGACGCCGTGGACTCGTCCGATGTAGCAAGGGTTGACAGCTCTCCGAACCACCAGTGTTACTCAATATTATTATAAATAAATAAAAATTCTACGAAATATTTAAGTGTATGCATGCAAGTCAAGATGTATTATGTATATTTTGACGACACCTTTTTATTAGCTTGACCTGTTTGTATGTATGTATGTATGTATATTTGTATGTGTAATGGCAGCGTAAGTATATCTACTACCCTAAATCCACCCGTATGGGCCGTAAAAGGCGACAGACGGAAACTGAGACGGGAGATGTGCACAAGCATTTTCCTTATAACAATCGAAAATAATACGTAATAAAAAAACGATGGAAATACAATAATTTTATCACTTTGACCTAGCATTCTCAGATTCAAATCTAATATTATTTTAATTACACTTTCAAGACTCAGACACTCCCAACTCGGAATGTCAAAGTTTCATAAGGTTAAAAATATACAATTTTTTTAAATTGCTTAACTATAAATATTAAAACCTCTCTTGTCCGCACATGATTATTTCTTAAGCCCCTAGGAAACGAAAGCTTCATTCATCCTAAATAAACGGTCTCCTACTTGAATGTAGACATTCCAGTAATTATTGACCTATTAAAAATTACTAATGATGTTCATATTTGTTTGAACGCTGCTTATTTGAAAAAATAACAATATAAAACCATTACGCTCTTGTTTAAATAAATATTTTAATAACTACTGAAAATTTGTTTACAAAGTTCACGACATTTAATGTCGACGATATATGGTCTTTTACTAACGTTAAAACATACTCTTAATTGGAAAAAGTTCATTATTACCGGAACACCACCGCCATGAAAAAAGGAGCCATTTTACAACATTATCACAGTTATACCCAAAAAGGTCAAATGCTACATAGAAACAGTGACCAAGTGAATTGTGTTTTCGAGTAAAAACGTTACCAGTCAGGCGTTTTAGATTTTTATTTTTTTCGTGCTTTAAATGTATAATGATGAGCCAATATTTTGAATGTTGCAAGAATTCTTAGCATAAAGAATTTATTTTGCATCAGTTTTAATATTGTCGTTCGGTTACTATAAAATGCGGTAATTTCAATAAGTTTTGCAAAACGTTCTGAGTTATTATTTAAGATCCTCCTAGAATAAACTTACATACCACAATACGTCCTTCTAATAGTTAAAATTCACTATCATAACTATATCGAATAATATGCCATTTGAGTAGACCTTACAAAATATCGAGATTGACGTAAAAATTAAACGAAATGTTGCTTAGGTTGGGTTAAACTTAAAAATTGAAAACAAACGAAATGAAAATTGACACAACGTTGACAACCTTGTCCCTAACTCAATTTGTAAAAAGAGGGTTCGTAACGGCAAAAGCTTTGATTTCATTCAAGCGTGAATAGTCTGCAAGTCGTCCTACACGGAACTTTGTATACAAACCCTTCTCACGGAAAGCTATTCTGCTAATGAACACTGAAAGGTTTAAAACATTCAGAAATACATTCATAGACTTGGTATATAAGAGATTTTTTTGGACTAGGGAAACGTGATACAGCAAAAATATTATAACAAAAATATTCTTAGATTCGATTTCGTTCACACCAGTACCAGAAAACTATAAGTTCTCTTCAATTTTATGTTGAAATTTGTTAGAACGCGACTTTTCCGATCAATCCATTCCTACTGCAAGAATAATACAGCTGATGCTCGAAGACATCGCCTCTCGAGAATAAGCGGTCTCAGCTACTGTCATCAAGTCATGTAAATAGGTACAAAATATATGAAGAAGGAATATAATGACGGCAATTTTCTTGACCAAAAGTGCGTATATTAATTGCACCGAATTCCGCGAGCGATCAGACATCCAAGGTCAACAGGTAACATTTTTCTAATATTACAAACAACTGTTTTAATTGCAAGTTCCAAGAGAACTTATGAAGAGTACTTTGTTATGAGATTCGAAATAGCCAAAAATACGTCGGTGTATAATCTCAAGACATTATAATCATGATAATCATTACAGCCCTTCACAAGTCCACTGCTGAACATAGGCCTCCCCCAAGGAACGCCACAAAGCACGGTCCTGGGCCACCTGCATCCATCGACTTCCTGCATGTCTTACCAGGTCGTCACTCCATCTAGTGGGTGATCGCCCTACACTACGCCTACTGATACGAGGCTGCCACTCGAGAACCTTTTTCCCCCATCGGTAGTCGGTTCTTGGAGCTATATGGTCGGCCCATTGCCACTTCAACTTACAAATACTTTGGTCTATGTCGGCCACTCTGGTTTTACTGCGGATATCCTCATTTCTAAGTTCATCACGCAAAGAACCCCCAAGAATAGCCCTCTCCATAGCTCGCTAAGCGACCTTAAGCGTCCTCATACGAGCAGTGGGATGTAAACTCAAGACAAATCGTTTTTGAAATAAAAATATTTTTTTAATTAAAACATTGAATATGGATAGTAAAGAATATTTTAACTGTAATATTTTTTAATTTTATATATAATTAAATATATAATAATACATACATAATACATAAACCTTCACGCCTGTCACCCAGAGGGGTAGGCAGAGACTACAGACTTCCATTTAGCACGATCCTGAAGTACCTCTCTCGCCTCTTCAACATCATATACCTACGCATACATGCACGTCGGGTAAAGGTACTCTTAATTCGGACCATTTTTAATATACCGCCAATTTGGTCGACAAACTTTCGCCTAGAACGTCCCTTTCCGACTCTTCCATTCACTTTTTTTTATTTATTTATTAGGTTCTCCAACAGTTATAACACAAAACATTACAATAAAATAATACACCAACGAAGTGCATAACTACTTATAGGGGAACACATCGTGCGTTTAATAATAATAAGTTATCTCTATGTGAAAGAAAAATTATTAAACCTATTTTAAGTTATTTTTTTAACAAATTACAGAAGATATTTTTTTGTGCCAAAGTCCCTGATCTGCTTACGAAAATGTTCAGAAGAATCAAAATTAAGATCTACCAATGTGCTGCATTCGTTGTAAAGTCTACTCAATCTAGGAACAGGAGAGAAATGATCAAGTTTAGTCCTCGCATTGGTGGGTTCATAGGCTGAATAGGCTTTCTTGGAAGCCGAGAAGGTATTCTGAAGGAAAAGGAATTTAGCAAAGGACAGTCTATCTTATTATGAAAAAGCTTGTATAGAAACATCAAATCCGAAATGTCACTTCTTGCTTCAAGCGGCAGTAACTTAAAAGTAAGAAGCCAACTTTTGTACGATTTAAGCGATCGAGCTTTATCTACAGAAAACGCTACGTGCCATAGAAACCTTTTCTGAACCCTTTCCAAGCGTAACGTATGTGTTGCGAAATGGGGCCTCAAAACAACACTGCAGTATTCCATAATACTATGCACAAAACTGTTATAAAGAATCATCTTGGTCTTAACGGTCTTGAAAACCTTTGTATTGCGTATAATGAAACCGAGCATTCCGGAAGCTTTTTTATATTAAATGTAAGCTTGTTATCTAGCAGCACGCCCAAATCACGAACACTGTCAACCTCTCGTAATTTGATACCATTGATTTAGTATGACGAATTTGTAATATTTTGTTTGCGCGTAAATTTTATATGTGTACACTTTTTCGCGTTGAGGACCATGTTGTTTTCGTGACACCACCTTGTCAACTTATCTAAGTCTGCTTGCAGGAGATTCACACCATCCATGGAATCGATTTCACGCAAAATTTTAAGGTCGTCAGCATATAAAAAAAGATTCAACATTATTAAGATTAAGAGAGACATCATTGACGAAGATGTTAAACAAAACAGGGCCGAGGTGCGTGCCTTGTGGCACTCCTGGTGATATTTTATGGGTTTTAGATGAATAACCATTAACTACAACGAAAAAAGATCTGTGAGTTAGGTAAGAACTGAACCATTTCAATAAGGAACCATGCACACCATAGGCTGAAAGCTTACGAAGAAGGAGCCAATGAGATACTTTATCAAACGCCTTGCTAAAATCCGTGTAAATAACATCAATCTGTTTGTTCTTGTCCATAGACTTAATCAGTTCTTCGGTGAAGCACACTAAGTTTGTCGAAGTCGATCTAACGTGCGTAAATCCGTGTTGTTAGTCTGTTAAAAATTTTTTGAAATAATTTTGAATTAGGGGTGTGATCAATGACTCCATGACTTTACCCATTTGAGGAAGGATTGAAATTGGTCGGTAGTTTCCTATTATATTTTCATCGCCAGATTTGTAAAGTGGCACAATTTTAGCCATCTTCCAGATTTCGGGGAAAACTCCAGACTTGAGAGAAAAATTAAATATGTAATGTAGTGGAGTGACTAAATTTGATGCACAATTAACCAAAAAAATGGCTGGAATCTCGTCATATCCCGCTCCATTCGACTTATGCAGCTTGCTCAAACTTTGGTAAATCATTTCTTCTGTCAGGTTAATGGAACTGAAAAAATCAATTTATTGCAATATGTGATCGGTTGTGACTGTTGATCAGATTGATTAGACTGTCCACTGTAGACAGAGAAGTGCGATGCAAAAAGATCACAAATATGTTGACCATCAGACGTTGTTACATAACCATCTGTCATCTCGGCCGGATATGAATTCAGACTGCTACGTTTCGATTTGATAAAGGACCAAAAGAATTTGGAATTAATGGGTATATTTTCTTCGGTGTGTTTTATATAGGAATTGTAGGCATACAACGATAGTTTTTCACATCTTTTTCTACAAATATTTAATTCTATTTTATCTAACGGATTGTTAAGTTTTTTGTACCTGAGTCTTATTTTATTTTTTTCATGCAATGCCTTGATCAAACAAGGTTCGGATTTTTTTTTTGTTTAGTTTTTTTACCGTTGGAACATACTCTTTAATACTATGTCGTCTACCTTTTCTATTCCGAAAAAAATCTTGGGACCAGTCGATTTCCACCAATTTTCGGTTAATCATTTCATAGTCAACTCTAAAAAAAATTTCGACTAGTGAAGTTATAGTTTTGTGCTAAGTTGTAATATTTTTTTGATTTTAAAAGTATTTCTAAAGGAGGATGCAGCACAACGATTGCAGCAACATCAGTTGCGCGGTCTACTTGAACTAATAAATTTGATTGCTCCAAAAACACTAGATCCAGGACTTTACCCTTACAATTCGGAATTTCATTGTACTGTTTAAAGTTATTCATACAAGTAAAATCAATTAGTGTCTGACATAGTGTTGATTGAGTGGCAGAGGATGTATTATTTATTTCACTCCATTCTATTTGGCTTAATTAAAATCACTTACAATCATTGGATCAAAATATACATAATTTTAAAGACTATAAATTTTATTACAATTTTCAGTAAATCTGTTTAGAATAACATGGTTAATAGGGGGTGGTAGGTATACTGCGCAAGGTGCGATATTATAGTTGCGGTTTGAATCTGTGCTTATTTTGACCCACAGATCCTCGCATGTACTTTCCTCCCACTCAGTTACGCGTCCAGCATTAAATTTTTTGGCGACAGCAATCAGCACACCACCTCCACTCTTATCATAGTGAAAACCAGTGGTTTCCCTGTCCCTGCGAAAAACTGTGTATCTATCATCAAAAAGTTCGGTACTGAATACACTTCTGTCTATTCATGTCTCTGTTAAAATAATTATATCGTATTTGCTACAGCACAGATTACGGTAAAAGTTATGCGTTTTGAGTTCGCAGTCCACGATTATTCTGATAATAAATATTTCATTGAAGTTCTACGAATGAAAATTAAAAAAACCAATGCATGCACACAAAATAAATAAAATTTAACTTAGTGCCTATTTAACTATTCTAATTTAGTAAAGGTGTCCATATTTTTAATAACAATATAACCAGCTGTATCGTTTTTTCTGACAAAAATTTTCCCATTCCTGACCCAGACGTACTTGAAGCCTTTCTCGTTTACTTTTTTTCTTGTAGCAGCGTGTAAGGCCTTGTTTGCAGGTGAGAGATGTTCTGAGACAAAAATTGGCGTTCTTGCTCCAGGTATTCCGAAATGAGTGCTATTCAATTTATTTTGAGGATTGCTCTTGTTGAAAGTTATTGTTGGTGCCAGAATGTGATCCCGGGTGTGGTGGTGTGGAGTCGAGTTGAACGACTATTGAACGAGGTGGGAGAGCTTTCGCGATTCAATTTTGCAATACGTGCACAGTGGAGGATGTTCTGTTCAGATATTTTATAATTAATTATAGAGCCCAACCGAGATACTAATTCAACTAAATTATCATTTTTCTTTCCCGGCATGCATTGAATCTCAAGATTATTAGATCTTGCTGCTTGTTCTATTTGGTTTATAAATAGAAAAATTATATCGTTTATTGCGGGTTGAAGTTTATCGCTCTTTATTTGTAACTCCTGTATTGATTTTTTGGATGCTTTAAGCGCCTTGTTAATTTCCTCATACTGACTACTCATAAATGATATTGACTCTTTTACGTCTTGTATTTCATCTTTGATTGATTTAAGTTGGGTTTTAAGCAAAGTGCCCATTGAGATGTTAAGTTTAGTCAGTAAATCACTCATTTCCCGCAGTACTACGTCTTCAATTATGTTGCGAAGCGCTGTGTTTGTAGCATAGTCCGCGCCTTCTGGTAAATTCCCAATTGGAGGAGAGTAGACGGCTGCGCGTTTGCTAGGTCTTTTTGCTACGTTATTTGAAGCAGGCGCTGATGTGTGGTGGCCCCCATCACTGTCATTTTCAATTTTTTGAGACATTGTACACGGCGGTGTTCTTTGCGTACTCATTTTGCTAATAAAATTTTTATTTTTTTCTGCAAAATATATTTGCTTTGTCAGTCTTTCCTCATTCATTCTTTCTACATGACCAAACCACCGAAGCATTCCTTTCTTAATCCTGGTCACCGCATCATCTTGCAAACCACACTCTTCTTTTATCACACATTTTCTCACCCGGTCACGCAGATTCAGCCCTAATATACTCCTTAGCGACCGCATTTCTACCATTCAACTATTCTACTCTCGTGCTTCTTCTGCCACACCCAACTTTCACTACCATACGTTAAAGTATGGACTAATACAGCACTGCGATTGTGAATTGCCATACGTGCCTTTTTTGACACATTCTGACTTTTCAGAATAGAGTGAAGACCCCCATTTACTATATTTCCTGCATTCACTCGTCGCTCAATATCCTTATCATAGCGCCCATCCCTGCTGAATACACATCCCAAATATATAAATTCATCTACTTGCTCGACCATCTCCCCATCATATATAGTAATATAAAATATTTTTAATTCTATATAACTATAAAATAAAATAAAAGTCTAAAAACGACTCGATAGCGCATTGGGCAAGATGGTACTACTAGTTGCAGGTATGATTCACGTGTTGAACAACTATCGGCATGGCCTACAAATAATGTTATCTAGTATGGATTCTTGTCCGTGTACAATTTTACAAACATAAATCTACCCAACGGTACCAAAAATTAATAAAACAAGGAACAAAGGTTTTATAGTAACAATTAAGTATTTACTAATTCGTTCATACACCGCATTTTCTTTAGAAAACTCCCAAGAATCTAAAAATCATGCATTTTACGAGATGCCCGACCTGTAGATTTAATCGATCCATCCTAATGTAACATAGTACTGATTTTACTATAATAATTAAAGTAGTGATGGCTGTAGCATTTTGAAATATCGTCATTCTCTTAATAAATTTAGTAAATGATGGCTTCATCACCACATGGGTGGTAAGTGCACCAAGGTGGGTTTGCAGTAGTCACGCACTGATTTATAATAAATTAAATAAATATAAAACTTCTCCAAAATTCGAGAGGAGTCACCAGCTTAAACCATTGAGGTAATATGTACTTACGTACTAGAACAGTTATTTCAAACAAAAAACTTGCGCTACTCTGTGTTCGTGCGGTTGGTTTTTTATCATAGAATAAACATAGGTAAGAATAGATTGTATTGTTGAATATTAGAATATTATATCACAATTACATTTTAATAATATTTTTATCTGTATATTTTAAAAGGTAACTATATCAAAAATAAAAAAAACATACTAAATGTTTGTTTAACAAAACTTATTAATATAAACATTTAAATTACAACTATATTTATTTAAATTAGAATAAGATTCGTTCATAAATGCTTTGCACGCGAGAGTATAAAATGGATGAATTTACTTTTTTGTGAAATTTTGATGTGTTGTGATGTGGAAACCTAAAAGTAAAATAAAAGAATAATGCCAGAGTAAGTAACAGGTTTAAATATAAAAAATTTAGCCTAATTATGATAACTTATATACGTTTGTACAAAAATGATAATAATATATTCGTCCTATACTTAAGTACCTACAGAAATGTCGCATCTTAACAAATTAATTTCATAATCTATATTCAATGACACTAGTTAACGTTTTAGGAACAATTTGTTTTATTATTAATGTTAATACTTTTTTTATTGATTAAGTATTAACCGATAAAAAGCTATTCCTTGGTATTTGCTAACATTACTTGAATTATTTGTGCAATATCTAAAAACACACCGTATGATAATAATTAATCAACACGTGTCAACTCACCAGCGCCTAGCGAGTGACTGAGTAAAGTGCGGCGCTAACACCGCAATTGAATAGTACAGCGTAACTAAACGCAGTGTCGTCTCTAGTATGTAGTACATAATAGCTCAATGGCATATACCAAGAATAAACATTGACTTATTTGCCATCCTTACTTGCGTAAAAAATGCTTCACTTACAATTTGATGAAATTACATTAATAGAAATGTCACGAAAAACATTTAGATTTAAAGCAATATAATTTTAAATTTAATCTACTCTTGTGAAAACTATTTAAGAGTTACATACATCAGATTAAAGTGATAGACACAGCGTAAAACTAAACCGCTTTATCTTAATTTAGCAGTAGATATCTTATGCGGGTACACTTTGTACGATGTTAAATAAAAGACTCTCGAGAGCTTCGACTACGTTCAAAACCCTAACTTAGCTATCACGGCGGAAAGCTTTTAGAGAAAATGAGTTTCAGTCGCGAGCCCGAGAAAGCCATGCGACAGCAGCCTAATGGATAAGAATAAGGACTGCGAAACTCAGAAGTCTTTGGTTCGAATCCGCAATTTGTCCAATGTTGTGAACAACTATTAGCACAAGCATTCTAACTTAAATGAAGTGGTTAATATAACTAAACTCACTGAGTTAGTAGGGTTTACGTTGCCATTATTCTTTAAAAAAAATCTACTCGTTTAAAGACTCGATATGACGCGAATCTCAAAAGCTTTGCTAATGGACTTATGATTGATTAAAGAATTATATGTCACGCAAAAATATCAATTCGTTTTAGGAACAAAATGTGGAAAAGTCAGCTATATAAACGTTCAACTGCATCAACTCCTAAGTCGTGCAGGAATCAGTGCTCCGCTGTCGAAATAATTGAAATTTTCTCAGGTATATCTCATACAAGTTTCCCCACGTTTCTCTGCATAACCGACCAACAGGCAATCACCATTTATAACTATGTGCCGTATACTCAAGTCTCTCTAATTACGACAGCCTACAGCACAGAAGAGAACAGAATATACAGCTATAAACTTATTAGTTATAGTTTTACGTGGTAGAACCATGCTGTAGCTAAATTATGGTTTTAGTACGTATGGGTCGGCTCGACTGGAGAAGGAACGCGCTCTCACAGAATTCCAGCGAAAAATAGTAGACCAATGGTGCTGTGTTTCGTATGGTGAGTTTAGAGAACCGGAGACCCTTTTTACTGGAAACGTGGCATTCCATCTGTCCTCAGGTGTGGCAAAGCATCAGCATTTTGATTCTAAATCGATGTTAGATATATTTATGGGCCATAGCATCCACTTACCATCAGGTGAACTGTGTGCTCGTTTGTCACCCATATTCTATAGAAAAAAGGAACACACTCGTATAAATTCAACTAACGGTCACAATCAATGTTTAACATAAATATTACAATACAATGACAAACTACGACAAAGTAGTACAATCAGAAGTCTCGAAGCTATCGGACTGGAAGGAGTTCGTAACGAGTTGGCACGCTACAGCGACTCGCAGTTCTGCCCATTGTGAGAGACGACGAAAACGAACCCACCCCGAGTGTGTACAGGTTGACACAACAAGAATGTTTCGTGAGTAAAAACGAGTGTACACAATTTCTGACTCCTTCAAGTATGTTAGGGACGGAATTTCGAAATCATTTCTCCGTGTTTGTTTCACAAAACATATTTCGTGTAGATATTGGAAAATACTCCCTAACCGGAAACATTTTTTGTACCTAAAACACATCCTATTCAAGTAATTACTTTTTTTTAAATAGAAATACTGTTGATCCTAATAGACGTTTTAAAATATATATTGAATAATAACTGAAGACGGGTCAAATTAAGAGTACCCTTAACCGAGGAACTTGTACTCGTATGTGTAGGTGTATGGATGTGAAGGTGGCAAACGAGGTGTGTGAGGATCGTGCCAAATGGAAGTCCGTAGTCTCTGCCTTCTCATCTGGGTGACAGACATGAACATTTTAACGTATGTTATGTTTTAAAAATATAATGTCAGTCCTCCAGGCTCCGAGCTGCTACTGATAATTATTAATAGAAAAAAACCCAATTACTGGGTTTGCCCATCGTGAGATTTGAATCCGGGACTACATGATTAGCAGCCGCTATTTAGGCCACTAGACCAACGAGGTGATTAAGTAAAAATAATCTTCATAAGATTAAAATACTCCGACGTTTAATGTACTGTCCTGGAACCTCGATTGTTATTCATCCGCTTCATGATGACTAACGGCTACCACAATTTGGAAGAAAGTCTATATCGAGTTAGAACCTGTTTCTCCGTTTGCATTTTCTTGTGACACTAATACCCTACTCAAATGCAATGACATAACTCGAAAGTTACAGCCACGGTCGATACAAACCGGCCATTATCATAATATACACTACTTCCACAGTTGTTTTTTTTTGTTTTCATATCCTTTCACAGTCACGTACATTATCATTATGTGCCTTAATCTAGAAGAACTTAAACTAAAACTTTAATGCGGACTCACAGATAATGAACGCCTTTGTAAAGCATTAGGTGCACGTGTGAAGGAAGTTGTGGAAGAAATGAGACCATTAAAACCGCTGTTACGTGCTGCGCAACAACGTTGTACTAAAGGTTTAAGTTTCATAAAGACAAACAAAAAATAAAGCTCTGTACACGAAGCTTCATTACTAGTAAACGAACAAGATTTTTTTTAAAGAAAAAATGTTGAAGGACGTTGACGTATTTTTTGTGTACGTGCATAATATACCTAAATAAATTACGTAATAGAAAGTATGATTATATTATTATCGATTTAGTTATGAGGTTTTGAATTGTCGCAGTAATACGACCGCGTCATCATCATCATTACAGCTCCTAACAAATCCACTGCTGAACATAGGCCTCCCCCAAGGAATGCTACATAGCTCGGTCCTGAGCCACCTGCATCTATCAACTTCCTGCATGTCTTACCAGGTCGTCACTCCATCTAGTTGGTGGTCGCAACACACTTCGCCTACCGGCACGAGGACCTTTCTTCCGGTTGTCGGTTCTTCGAGCTATACGGCCGGCCTATTAAAACTTCAGCTTACTAATCCGTTGGGCTACGTCGATTACTCTGGTTCTTCTCCGGATATCCTAATTTCTAAGTATTACCGCGTGTACATTATAAAAAAAAGTTAAAGTTATACGACAGT